ACCCTAGATCTTGCTCTGTAGATATGAGACTCTAGGCACAGGCGTGCCTAGGCACCAGGGGCGGACTGACCATTTGGAAACTTGGGCACTGCCCGGGGTCAATAGGGGGCCCCATGAAATGCTCCTGGTACCTTTTTCATAGGCTTTTTTGAGTTTGGGCAAGGACACAGGGGCCCCATGATCCCCTATTGCCCAGGGGCCCCATGAGTTGTCAGTCCGCCCCTGCTAGGCACATTCGCATACCAATAAGTGCACTGACCTTTTTCAGTAGAAATTCAAGACAAAAAGGTATACTTTTCAGGGTACAGCTTGGGCACAAATACTTACAGATGTTCCCAATAGCATAGCAAATCTTTATTTTTTTAGTTCAATTACACTTTAATATATACATGGGCTTCAGACTTGTGGAAAACCTGAACTTCCAGGTATGAGGCACACCAGTATATCCCCCTCTCTCTTTCTATAAGAGAGCACTCAGTGTTTTACCAACCAATTACCTGGCTTGAGCACTGTCATTTGAAGTGTGTGTGTGTGTGGGGGGGAGGGGTATTGCACCCTAGCCTTATGCAAATATCAACTTTTTGCATATCAACTTTAAGGCTGTAGCATTCTATCAGGGCACTGTGCTAGAGAACTAAAGCTGCTATTTGGCATTGAGTCTGCTCTGCACTTTGCTTTCCATGTCATTGTGATAGGTGTAACATGCTTTTTAAGGGACATTCATACCAGTGGCTGTGTTTTACCATGCTGCTGTGCACTATGAAAGGAGCCTGTTCCATTGTGTCATAAATAACGCATCACACCCTTTGCTTTTTTTTCCAACTTTATTGCAATGTTACTTCAGTGGTTTGCAATAACCTGCTCTGAAAAAAAGTACTACATGTCCTATATTTTTCAGTCCAGTGTGAACTGAAAATAGAACTTTTTTCATTTTGACTAGAGTAAGGGAGGGTTTTAACCTCCACAAAGTTTATTTTGTTGTCTGTGTCCTATTGGCGAGATTTATGTTCACTTCCTTTCCCATAGACAAAACTGGAAGTGAGAGAAAATCCCCTAAAGTGAGTACAGTATATAACAAGAGGCAATATCAAGATACTTCACAGTATTCTGAAATCGTACAGAATAATCAATTTCCAATGTGAACAAAAGCATCATTATCAAGATATGTCAGTGCATTTTTTTTTTAACTAAAGTAGTATGCCTCTGGCAGTGTGCTGAGAGACCAGATAAGGGACAAGTAGGCAAAAGATGTGAAATCTATCAAGAATGTGTGCATTTTTAAGTACAGACGTTTCTGGTACAATAACCTCGAGGTATTGCTGTCAAGTAGGAAAAGGTAGATGGGGGTGGGAACCATCAGAAAATGGAATATGAGAGGTGAAATGGGTTTGGGAAAGGTACAACAGAAGGCAGGGATATGTAAGAAAGATTTAAAGACAGTAGGACAACTTTGTGGGAAAATGAGAATGGGTGGGGGCTGGATGGAGGAAAAGGGTCTTCTCTGGCCTGCGATGGGGGAGGGTACCCACATTTATAAATTATCACTCAGCAGCGTCTTAACCTTGTCGGAAAAAGCTAAATTCATCCAGTAAAAACACATTTTATGGTATGTTTTGTGTGTGGTAGCCTCCTAGTGCAAAATTCTAGACAAATTTTTTTATTTTTTTTTTCTGCAGTCAAGGGAGCAGTGACTATTTATTTTGGCCTGTTCAGGGTTTTACAGGCTTGAAGTTTGATTGTTTTCCTTTGCCTCTGGAAGAAACTTCCAGAACACAGGGAAGGAGATTCAAATGACCAGTCTGAATATTTATCATGCCCTAGCCAATCCCTGGAGAGGAGTGTCTAGATGGTGGATGGGGAGGTGATAAATGGTTTGAAGCCATGGACAGATTGTTCTTTCCCTGGCAGGGAGGGTTCCAAAGCCTCTAGGGCTTCTGCCCTAGGAAGCAGCCCATGAACTGAGTTGCTGTTCTTTTGAGGTCTGAGCTTTGGCAGAGCTGGGGACCTGAAGTGATATTTTGTGGAGCTTACTGTAGGACTTCACAATAAATGGGATTGGATGTGGAGGATTGTCTTCCTCACTTGACCGTGTCTGGAGGATGCTGGCAGGTATGCAGTTTTCCTGCGGAATAATGACCCTGAAATTATTCCTGGTGGCTGCATTTTTGGGATGTAAGTGCCAACTAAATTAATTAACTACACAGATGACTCTCATAGGGTCTCAGAATACTGACTATTCCCTGGTCCACAGCAGAATCCTGGAGTGTGAGCCTAGAAAACTGTTGCCCTGTTAGCATGCAGCATTTTGGAGTATCCCATGTCCTAACCCCAATCCTGTTTAAAGTTCTTCAAGCAATACCATTTCAAAAAGAGCTCACCTAAACTGAATTATTGAAGCTGGAGTGCATGGACTGATGCTTGTGGTGGTGGACAGCCTCTATACTGTTTGGGAAGAACCAGTGGTTCCTGCGGGAGTAGCACTACATGTGTTTGTTTTGAGAGGTAAGGATGAGATCTCCACCCTTCTGATCTCCTCCTCTTTGTTAAGCCACATAGCTATTGAGGGGCGAGAAGGATCTTTCCAATTCAAGAGGATACAAACTTTGGCAGCATTGAGAATGTGATTAAGAATCAATTTTTCACAGGAATATGGACATTGTATATTAGTGCAATGACATACATGCCATCCATAGTGGTGCAGAAAAATGCAAACATGCTGCATTTTTCTACACTGCAAGGCACCACACATCACACCAGCACTGAGGTATAAACGGGTCACATAACAAATTTGTCTATGTGCCCTAACTGCTCTGCATTTATCTAGTGAGAAAAAATGCACGTCACTGTACGTAGTGTGAAAAGCCTTTCAAGCTGGAATGTAAGTACATTTTGGGGGGATAAAGCACCAGGAACAAACTTGCCTCTAATGAAGAGTTTCCTAAAGTTACTGTAAAAGTCCCTTTTAGTGATGCTGAAATCTCCTCACAGCAGTGAACTTCCAGCACTTCATGCATTAACTGACACACCCCAACCCCCATTCACAGAACTCTTTGAATAATTTTATCATTTTCCCAGAATGCTAACAGTGATGCAGAACAGAAAAGGATGCCCCTCCTCCAATCACAGAACTCTTTGCATTCTGGGAAAATAAAGACATGTATTCTGGAGGAGTTGCCAGTATCTGTGAAGGGACAATTTCCACAGAGATCAGGAGCCTGCAGGACATTGGATACTCTTCATTCTAGGTAAATTATGTCACTGGTGCTGTATCCCCCAAAAACTTGAAATTGAACTTCAGTTCTAACATACCTTGCCATTAAACGTGTTGTACTGTCTGTTACCAATTACTTTATCAACAGAATCCTCTCCAGTTTCAAAAAGTGCACCATGAAAAGTGGCTAAGATAAAACATACTGGGCTTAACTTGCTGATCAATTGAGCTGTAATTTTGCAATAACAATCATTCTTTTAGCCATGTAACTTGTAAGAAATTATTGGTTCTCATTACTGAAAATAAAGGTCTTTATGTCTAATAATTAACATTCTAGCTTATTGAATTAAGCATATTGGGGCTTGGTATAATTACAGCTATAAAAATGGTAATTTTTCCTAAGAATTTGTTTTACTTTTCGATTCCTCCCAGTTCATATACAGTATCAAAGCAAGAAACCACAGTTTAAATCCAAGATTTGGTTAACGTTATCTAGAATTAGAAGATGCAAGTTTTAAAGATAACGTTTAACTAGGTGGACTCAATGGAGGTATCCAAGCCTACCTGAATTATGATTATATTCTAAAGAAGCCTTATCCCCCAACTAATAAAATGGCATATTTCTCTGGTCTCTCTCCCTTGGGTTCCCTTATAGCAAGTCATAGATGAGCCAATATGTAATTAATATATTGTGTTTACCGACGCAGAATTTAAAAAATCAATAACGTTTTCAATCCAATTATAACCCACACCCATCATATCTAATCCATTTTACATCTTTCTCTAAAACAAAATATTCTGCATCTAATAACTAATAGGGCAGCACAGTGGTTAAATGGTTAGCACTTCTGCCTGGCAGTACTAGGGTCATTGGTTCGAATCCCAACCACGGCATCACCTGCCTGGAGTTTGCATGTTCTCCCTGTGCCTGCGTGGGTTTCCTCCGGGTACTCCGGTTTCCTCCCACACTCCCAAAGACATGCTGGTAGGTGAATTGGATCCTGTCTAAATTGGCCCTAGTATGTGTATGCATGAATGTGAATTAGGGACCTTAGATTGTACGCCCCTTGAGGGTTAGGGACTGATGTGAATGTACAATATATATGTAAAGCGCTGCGTAAATTGACAACGCTATATAAAGTACCTGAAATAAATACAATTTTAATAAATGGCCGATATTTTAAGACATGTAGTATGAAGGTTTTAATTGTTAATTCTGTATTTTTCAAAAGGACAAGGATTAAAATACACTGTAAAATGTTATGTTGCATTGATATACTATTTAGCATAAAACCAAGGTCAGTCCTAGGTTACAGTCCAAGGGTTAGCTATGATAATACTAGTAGAAAGTGATAAGTGTGTGATGCCTACTGACATACACCTTATCAGAGCTATGAAAATCACGGTGAATGTACAATGTATATGTAAAGCACTGCGTAAATTGACAGCGCTATATAAGTACCTGAAATAAAATATATACACGTCACTAAAATAGGGGACTATGGCACAAAATTGGGCGCATCTTTTTATCTGTACCTTTTATACACATTAAACCATATTTTAAAGTTTCCACAAAGTTGAAGTTCCACATTCCCCTTTTGTCCCCATATTTTTACAGCTAGGTCTGCACATTTCATACATATAGTATTCAGATGCCTTTAGCAGATGCCCATTTCCCATAAGTCTGTTATCATGAACTAGATGACTATGGTTTACAATATGTATAAACATATGCAAATTTATTTTCCTATTGAATTTTTAACTTGTTGATGGTTCTTTGTTCTTTTATAGCAACAACAATAACATCCAGACCTACTCCACGAGTATAATCCATGATGATGAGAGGAACCTGTGGAGCTCCCCCCATGATCTGTCTCACACGGAGGCTGTGGACGATCGGATGCTGCACACTTGGATTCAGACTAGACGTCAACTGGAGAAAGACTCTGAAGTGAGAAAAGCGAAGTATAATGTCACTACAATGCAGAGATACCATCAGCTTTTGGTTGTTTGATTACATTCCTATTAGCTTCCAGCTTGTCATTTACAGTCAGGTCCATAAATATTGGGACATCGACACAATTCTAACATTTTTGGCTCTATACACCACCACAATGGATTTGAAATGAAACAAACAAGATGTGCTTTAACTGCAGACTTCCAGCTTTAATTTGAGGGTATTTACATCCAAATCAGGTGAACGGTGTAGGAATTACAACAGTTTGCATATGTGCCTCCCACTTGTTAAGGGACCAAAAGTAATGGGACAGAATAATAATCATAAATCAAACTTTCACTTTTTAATACTTGGTTGTAAATCCTTTGCAGTCAATTACAGCCTGAAGTCTGGAACGCATAGACATCACCAGACGCTGGGTTTCATCTCTGGTGATGCTCTGCTAGGCCTCTACTGCAACTGTCTTTAGTTCCTGCTTGTTCTTGGGGCATTTTCCCTTCAGTGTTGTCTTCAGCAAGTGAAATGCATGCTCAATCGGATTCAGGTCAGGTGATTGACTTGGCCATTGCATAACATTCCACTTCTTTCCCTTAAAAAGCTGTTTGTTGCTTTTGCAGTATGCTTTGGGTCATTGTCCATCTGCACTGTGAAGCGGCGTCCAATGAGTTCTGAAGCATTTGGCTGAATATGAGCAGATAATATTGCCCGAAACACTTCAGAATTCATCCTGCTGCTTTTGTCAGCACTCACATCATCAATAAATACAAGAGAACCAGTTCCATTGGCAGCCATACATGCCCACGCCATGACACTACCACCACCATGCTTCACTGATGAGGTGGTATGCTTAGGATCATGAGCAGTTCCTTTCCTTCTCCATACTCTTCTCTTCCCATCACTCTGGTACAAGTTGATCTTGGTCTCATCTGTCCATAGGGTGTTGTTCCAGAACTGTGAAGGCTTTTTTAGATGTCGTTTGGCAAACTCTAATCTGGCCTTCCTGTTTTTGAGGCTCACCAATGGTTTACATCTTGTGGTGAACCCTCTGTATTCACTCTGGTGAAGTCTTCTCTTGATTGTTGACTTTGACACACATACACCTACCTCCTGGAGAGTGTTCTTGATCTGGCCAACTGTTGTGAAGGGTGATTTCTTCACCAGGGAAAGAATTCTTCGGTCATCCACCACACAGTTGTTTTCCGTGGTCTTCCGGGTCTTTTGGTGTTGCTGAGCTCACCGGTGCGTTCCTTCTTTTTAAGAATGTTCCAAACAGTTGTTTTGGCCACACCTAATGTTTTTGCTATCTCTCTGATGGGTTTGTGTTTTTTTTTTTTTTTCAGACTAATGATGGCTTGCTTCACTGATAGTGACAGCTCTTTGGATCTCATCTTGAGAGTTGACAGCAACAGATTCCAAATGCAAATAGCATACTTGAATTGAACTCTGGACCTTTTGTCTGCTCATTGTAATTGGGATAATGAGGGAATAACACACACCTGGCCATGGAACAGCTGAGAAGCCAATTGTCCCATTACTTTTGGTCCCTTAACAAGTGGGAGGCACATATGCAAACTGTTGTAATTCCTACACCGTTCACCTGATTTGGATGTAAATACCCTCAAATTAAAGCTGACAGTCTGCAGTTAAAGCACATCTTGTTCGTTTAATTTCAAATCCATTGTGGTGGTGTATAGAGCCAAAAAATTTGAATTGTGTCGATGTCCCAATATTTACGGACCTGACAGTATAAGTGGTTGTATGGAATATATAAATTAGGTTTGTGAATTTTCAAATGCTTGAAGCCAACCCACAGTTTTCTATACTTTTTAAAGCAGGGATCTAAAACAATTACATAGCACCTGAGGTCAATAGGAAATAGTACCCCATCATTGGTATTAGTTGGAGGAATAGTGCCCCATCATTTGTATTTGTTGGAGGAATAGTGCTAGTTGGTGGAATAGTACCCCATAAGTGGTATAAATTGGAGGAATAGTGCCCCATTATTGGCATTAGTTGGCAGAATAATGCCCCATTATTGGTATTGGAGGAATAGTGCCCCATTATTGTAATGGTTGGAGAAATAGTGTCCTATTACTGATATTTGTTGGCGAAATAGTGCCCCATTCTTGGTATTAGTTGGCAGAATAGTGCCTCATCATTGGTATTAGTTGTAGGAATAGTGCCCCATCATTGGTATTCATTGTATGAATAGCGCCCCATTATTGGTATTAGTTGGCGGAATAGTGCCTTATTGTTTTATTGGTTGGAGAAATAGTGTCCTAACACTTGTATTATTTGGAGAAATAGTGTCCCATCATTGGTATTAGTTGGAGGAATAGTGTCTCATCATTGCTATCAATGAGAGGGGTAGTGCCCTGTTGATAGCGTCATTGCCAGGAATGGTCCCTCATTTCAATGGGAAGAACAGGGCCCCAAGGGCTGGATAAAGACAAACAAAGGGCTGAAGTTTGGAGACCATTGTTCTAAAGTAAACCTGGCATGAATTCCTGAAAAAATTAACTTTAGATGGTGATATGCACCACATTGTGCCAAAAGACTTAAATGGGACTAAAGTGGGGCCTGCAATTCCCAAAATTTGGTATGCAAACTTTTCAGAAAAAATCACGGACACACCCAGCCAAATCCCACAAAGCAGTGCAGTGAAAAACCATGGCATTGTGGGATGTAGTGGGGGTTGTTTATGATTCATTTTCCTAAAAACCCAAATGATACATAGCAAGCTCCCAGGTAATAGTGGAGTTCTGTTTTGAAGATGTCTAAAGGCACTGGGTGATGTCTGATTCCCTATGAGATAAGTTTTAGTTTTGAATTGGAGATGGGTGTTATTTCTTTTTGTTTGTTGCAGCAGATGCAAGTCGCTCCTTGACATCTATACCCAAGGTGCTAATGACATTATTCTCCAATTCTTTTTTCAGAATTAGATGCAGTAACCAATTGCAGAACTATTGTGGTCATCTTATGACAGCTTTTGCTTTGTTGTAAAACTTAATCCAAACAATTAACTTTTAAAGAAAATGTAAAACCTAACCAAATTACCTTTTTATGATAAAATACTTGTTTTCACCTTTTTGTGTTTTGGGTTACAGTGCTGCTGATCTCTTGCAGCCACAACTGCATGGGTAGGTTTCCTGATGGTAAAACATGGACCATGGCTGTGTAATATGTGTTTAAAACTGTATTTGTAGACCCCATCTAAAGCCTGCATGAGACTGTGACAACAAAGGAGCACAGTTGGGAGAAAGGGACACCGTATTGTCACCTGAATAAATACCTTCATGGCAGGATTCCCAGCTATTATTTTAGAAAATGCTGCAGATTAATTTAAATTTTTTTTAAGTTACTTTTTTATGGATAAGAGATGTAGGTATATGTAAATTCAATCACAAAGTATTCACTTTTCATATTTTCATGTCATGTAACCTTAAATTACAGTGGGTTTAAAGCTGCACGCTGTGAGCTTTCCATAGTGTGCATTATAAGCTATGGTTTTTAGACCCACCTTATTTCCTAGCTTCATTTAGCTCTTTCCTCCCCAGTGTCCCTGCCCTCCCTCTTATATTCATTGGTATTCAGTTATTTCAATCATGGATGCTCAGCATCACATATGAGCGCTTCCAAAGATAGTCTGCTGTTTTGAGGAAGCTATTTGAAGCCCCTCTTTCCCCACAGCTATCATCTGCCTGCATTGTATAGATAATATCCCTAGGTCTCAAATAGTGATTTTTTTTTTTTTTTTTTTTCATTAACATGATGATGAAGGGGGGGGATTGAACCCAGGAATACAATCTATATGTATATAAAATAGATGGCAATTAATTTAAATTGCATTAAAAACACAATAACTCAATTAATAGTACATATCCTCTTCACATTAGTGTTTAGTGGATATACTTCTGGCAGCAACTACAGCTCTTAAGTCTGTCTGGTCTCTATCAGCCTTACTCATCTGGACACCATGGTTCCTCTTTGCAACACTGCTCCAGCTTGGCTGAGGAAACAGATGTTATAAGTTCAACCACAAATTCTCTATTGGCTTGAGATCTTGACTCTAAACGTGGCCATACCAGGACATTCTCATGTTGTTTTTAAAGATGTACTCTAGGCAAGCAGCTTTTAGTCCTTACTGTTAAAAGAAAAAAAAAATGAAAGAAAAGTACCCAGTTCCAGTATTGATGCCCATTCTGGTAAATGTATACTTTCATTTAGTCAGCTAGTATAGCTCATGCTATACATCTGGTCTGCTGCGGCTCTCAAAAAGTCAGAATGTGAGGTATCTGCCCCTGCCTTACCTATTCACATAACTCCTTGCATTCTCCTTGCTTAGCAACAATGGATAGAGAAGTACCTGCTGTTGGCTATAGTATTCAGTGGGTGCTTAATACAAGGACAGCGCCTTCATCTATTAGATGCAAGCATTGGGTGGCCAAACATTTTCCAAACTGCTCCTCCAAAAAAAGTTGATCAATAGATCATCTTTTGTCGAGCGGAGGGATTCCGACAAGGCCAACAACAGCATGAACTTTAGTCGATTTAGCAGATATTGGCCAAAACTCAAAATATGTGTGGCTACCTTAAAGTGTAAGAAAAAAAAAAGCCTACCTCTAACTATTCTTAGAAATATCCTATCCTGCCTACCCTGCCTAAAAGAGATCTGTGTACTTATCTACCACTCTGAATGGATCATGTGATCCTGCATCTCTGCCTCCCTTGTGCCAGTGAGCAGTTGATGCAGTGGGGAGGAGGGAGTGCCGACAATGGCTGGAGCCTATGGGTAATGTGCTTTCTTATATAGGGAAGCTGAAGGATTCTGTGACTGAAGTGGCTTAAAAATAGGTATCTACACAGATTTTTTTTTTTTTTTTTTTTTTTTTTTTTTTTTTTTTTTTTTGTACAGGGTAGGCAGGATAGGTAGAAAAGAGTTGGGAGGGAATATTTTTTAAAGTGTTACTAAACCCACAACAGTAAAATCAGTC